AAAAAAAAAGAGAGAATAAGCAGAATACATTTGTACGTTTCAGATTTTTTTTTTTGTTGATACATATCTTTAAAACATCAATCGGTGATGTTTATTGTTTGATTTCTTAATTTTTTTTCATTCTTTTTTTTCTTGTTATTCAGGCTTCACAGCAGCTAGTGAAGAGGAAATTATTCAACAGTTTTTGCAAAATCGACGTTGTGATGATGACGTCTGTAAAGCAATGACATTTTTGTCAAAAATGCTTGCTGAAAAACGCGTTTTTGGGACCAAACTAATGGCTGAAACAACTGTAGCTGGCCCAAATCACTCAACATATAAGAATCTACCGGAAGAAGGGATTCATTATATTGCATGTACGTAATACATTCAATGTTTAGTTTTTTTTTGTGGTCGTTTTTTCTTAGTATTTATTTTATGGGATCCAAGTGAGTGGTTGAAAAAACTGTTTGAACAAACCGATACATGATTTTGGTGTGTGGTTGATTTTGAATAAGATAATTTTTTGTTGTTTCTTTCCAATCCACTAAATGAATGAATGGATAGATAGATAGATGGATAGAGAGATGAATGAATGGATAAATGTTTGGGAACATATGGTAATGGTGGATAGCCGTTGTTGATGTTGATGATAATGATGTTGTTGATGGTTTCAGATGTTTGCCGGAAAGTTATGCATCATCGTATTCCTGATGAAGAACAGTTTTGGGATGTATTTCGGGATGTTACACGGAAACTTGCTGCCAGATGTCGTCGAGTACGTCATTCCAGGAAGAATCGCTGTGAAAATGCTGAACTTACTCGTCTACAAGACTGTGCTAAGGAACATCTGGTAACTGAAAATAACATGCCAGCCAGTATGGAAAGTGTAACTTCAGCTACTTAACTTAATAGCTGTTAACTGTTTCTCTTTCTAATTTTTCTTTTTCTTGTTTTTGTGGTTTTTTTCATAGATTTTTTGTTCTTCAGTTTTTTATCCTCATCAAACACCTCTTGTCACCACTACACTAGAATATTAGACAATTGGAAAATATGAAATGAAGCATAAAATAGCAATGGAAAAAAAAAAAAGAACAGAACCAGAAAGAAAGTTATAAAATAGGAAGTATAAAAAAGTAAAATGGAAAAAAAAAAGAAAAAAAAAGAAAAAAAAGCACCTAAGAAAAGCTTACAATTTCATTCTAAGTCCAAATTTAGTTTTAAAAATCGGTTCAGTCTTAAGTCATCAAATTGTTTTTTTTTTTTTTTTTATAGGTTTATTTGTCAATAACAGAAAAAAAAAAAAAGTTTGGAATTAGTGTAGTTTTTTTGTTTTTCGTTCTTGTAATTTTTTTTTTT